GAGTTTAGTTTTGAGTGTTTAGGGAGTTTTAGGTGTCAAAACATTTTTTAGGGTTTAGAATTTTAAGATATAGGTTTTATAAATCTATAATTAGTGTCATTTTTATAAATGAACACCCCTAAATGGCATTCTTGCAAATATGCATACAAAAATGGCACTTTTGTAATTGCTCCTTCTTTTTATTGTTTTAGGTATTTATCAAATTTTTCAATTTTATACCATTTTTACAAAAATGTGATTTAGCTGTATAATATGTGTTAACAGAAACGGAAAGTTTTTAATCTTAACGTTATTCAAGTCAAAACAAAATTGGGAGATTAGCTAGAATAACCTACTTTTTTAAAATAGCTAGAATAACCTTACTATTTTTTTATTGCTGAAATAACCTATTCTAGATTTTTTTTATTTCATAATACCAAAATTGTCCTTCGCAGATTATGCCGAGGTATTGACAGACTCTGCTGAAACATTGGCAAACTCTGCCAATATTTAAAAATACGCAGACTCTGTCAAACATTGGCAGACTCTGCCGAAACATTGGCAAACTCAACTCCGCCGAAGTATTGACAGACTCTGTCGAATTATTGGCAGACTCTACCGAATCATTGGCAGACTATGCGGAAACATTGGTAGACTCTACCGATGTATTGGCAGAGTAATATCTAGAAATACGCAGATTTTGCCAAAACATTGGCAGAGTCTGCCAAAGACAATTTTGGTATTATGAAAGAAAAAAAATCCAGAATTGGTTATTTCAATAATAAAAAAATGGTAAAGTTATTCTAACTATTTTTTAAAAAAAGTAGGTTATTTTAGGTAAATTTTTCAACAAAATTTTATTACTTTTTTTTTAAATGTGATTTCGTTATACAATACGTGTTAAAAAAGCGGAAAGCTCTTAATTAGCTAAAGCTAGTTTTTTAACGTTTTATAATTCAAAAAAATTTATCCAAATCAAAACAAAATTTTTATTTTTGTATTTTTTTTAGAAAAAATGTGATTTCGTTATATAATGTGTTAAGACAAAACGAAAAGTTTTAGTCTACTAAAACTAGTTTTTTAATGGTTCATAATTATTCTACAAAACTTTTATCCAAGACAAATAAAAAGTTTTTGCTAGACTAGTTTAATGTACATTTTTATTTAGACAAAGATGGATAGTCAAAAATGTAGAGGATGTAGGATAGTCATTTGGTTGGTCAGGTCTAGTGTGGATCGTACATGGATGGTAGTCGGAGTCGGTGAGTCTCCTAAGGTTCACGCGTCTAGGATTGATCCTTAGGGAAGAGGATCAAGTTGGCCTTAGCAAACAGTTTGATGGACTATCTTCAAGGATAATCTTTTGAAACTTTTCAGCAAAAATATACATGAGCTTGTTGTTAGCCTCTCTGGAAGAGAAGGCTTTGGAGCTGCACATAAGATTTATTTCCACATTATGCTTAGAACCAAAGTCACATTAAGAGAGTTGACTAAGATAAGAGAACAAGACTAAGAAAGAGTACTCATTCCCTAAGCAAGCACAAAGAGAAAGATCAATTAGACCATGAGTAGTCGATCTTATAAGTTAGGAATCTAACAAAACGAAACTTTTTCTGATCCTAAGGAACAATTTATCCCCAAATCCAATAATTGACATTCCCTTAAACAAGAAAGAAACCAAGGTTCTTGAACAAATCCTTAAGACACACAAACCTAAAGTAGAGTACTATTGCTTAAAACTAGTTTGTTCTTGAGTAAAATGGATAATTAGAGAACAAAAGTCATGAGGCAAGAAATACAAACACAATACATTTTAAGGTTTCTTCAAGACTCTGCCGGCGATAAGAGCGGCTTCCATGACAATAGAGATGACTTCAATAACTTCTTCGCTATCGCATTTGTTACCTTTGAAGGTCATTTGCTTCGTATCGCGGAATCTGTTCATACAGTTTATGAACTTCTGACTACACTCTTGGCTTAGATAATCATCTGTACATTAACATAATATGGTAAACAAATTTAGTAAAAAGTGGGACTAGAAGAAATAGAGAGCTTAAAAGTTTAGTTAATTACTATTCTTGGATTGGACA